AAATGATGTTACAATACACGTGCCCTTTGAACGGCCGAGCAAGGTAAACAGCCATGTAAGCGGTCTTACGCATATAGATTTTTCTAAACAAACATAATACTAAGTAATACACCTGTCATACCAACGATACCAACATCAGATCATCGACAACAGACCTAAGCAAGAATGACACTACCGTCCAAGGTTAAGAATCGGTCGATTATGATTCGGTTCGGTGATCTGACTGTATCAGTAATCAGAATGAACCAGGAAGCAATATGAATAAAAAAATATATTCCTAATTCAAAGCAAAGACAAATTAAGGAAGCAAATCGGATAATACCACATACATGTTTGAGGTGACGAAACCACTCCACTTGGCTTGCTCGTACATTGTTATTACGGTCTTAGTTGATGGTTTAGTGTTTTGTTTGTTAAGAAAGATTGATATGAATATGCGTGGGATATCTTTACACTGGTATATCTTCTGCAAGTCACACTTATAGGCATGGATGTCGATCCCGGGGGAGGGGGCGGGGATATATCCCCCCAATATTTCAGGTGGGGGGGGGGGATGGCCTGTACAATAATCCCCCTCAATAATTCACCATAAAAAGAAAATAAAAAAAATGAAGAGAAAAATTAATGATGAGAGTCCGATGAGAGTAGTTAATAGTTATTACTCGCAAGATGACCATCAATATACACATTTTGCTATCTCATTTTCATAATACATACATATATATGACGTAAATAAGACAACCATATATGAGACAAGAATAAATTGAATTCTCGCTCATACGGCTTCATCAGGAATTGATGAATTTATTCAATTTGTTCAATCAACAGCATCATAGAAATGCAGTGCGCCGAATGCAAAGACGCAGCATCAACAGCAACGAGCTAAATGTTAAGCGCGAAGCACAAAAGTAGCAATCTGCAATGCACATCAGACAATCCTGGACAGTGTAAACATAGATGAACTCTGTGACGATTTCGTGATGAGATCGGAGACAAGGAGAAAGATTTTCGGACATTAGTATGACTTATAAAATAGTTCACTAGTTGTTATGTTGTTTCCGTTCACCCTTTTTAAAATTCACGTCATTGTATCTTTATTTTTTATTTTTTTCACTCATTTTATTTCCTGATATTTCCTTAAACATTTTTCATTTTTGGAGAAAGATTATTATGTCACAAATTATTTGTGACACAACTTATTTTTAGTGGGGAAACTGAATTGAAACAAGGATTAATATAGAGAACAGTACAACGAATCGTCTTCTTTCTCTAATAATTTATCGAACAGGGCATAGCTGTTAGGGGGCAACTGAATTCAGACGTGGATTAAGAGTAATAATCAAATGAAACATCAAAGTACACGATACGACTAATCGTCTTCTTTTACTAATAATTTAATGAAACGTGAAAGCTTCCGCGCTACGCGCGGAATGGGCAAAAATGAATACAGACAAGGAATAAGAGTAATAATTTATTGAAACATTAAAGCTTCCGCGCTTCGCGCGGTAGGGGGGAAACTGAATTCAAGGACACGAAACAACAAATCGTCTTCTTATTCTAATAATGTAATAAAATGTGAAAGCTTCCGCGCTTCGCGCAGGAATGGGCAAAAATGAATTCAGACAAGGATTTAGAGTCGAGAATGGTACATAGAATCGTCTTCTTTCTTTAATAATCTAATGAAACGTCAGAGCTTCCGCGCTACGCGCGGGGGAAGGGGAACTTATTTCAAACATCAATGATTAAGAGTCGAGAATGGTACATCGAATCGTCTTCTTTCTTTAATAATCGAATGAAACGTCAGGGCTTCCGCGCTACGCGCGGTTGAAGGGGAACTTGATTTAAACAAGGATTAAGAGTCGAGAATGGTACATAGAATCGTCTTCTTTCTTTAATAATCTAATGAAACGTCAGAAGGGGAATTTGATTCAAACAAGGATTAAGAGTCGAGAACGGTCAAACGAATCGTCTTCTTTCTCTAATAATTTAGTGAAACGTAAAAAGCTTCCGCGCTTTGCGCAACTTGCCACACGCTTCTACCACTTTGGTTGCTTTGATCCATTGCCGAAAATATTTTGGCACCTATCATCCCCCCCAACCACGGATACAAATCGATACCCTTGCTTATATGAGAATTAACGTGCGGTAAGTAGGTGCTTCAATTACTCAGTCAGTCAGGTTATATCGCCGTTCTTGTGGCCCTTTTTTACCGCTGATCCTCTACCGGCCGCCCCAGAGCTGTGGGCAGTGGTGTCGTCAGTGGTGCCGGTCACGTTTTCAGCAATTAGGGGGGGGGGGGGGGGGGGATGTAAGACTTATCATTGCCATGATCATAGAGGGGGAAATAGATAGAAAGAGAGACACAGAGACACAGAGGGAGACATAGTTTGGAAAGAGAGGGTACGGAATAGTTTGAAAGGTAAGAAGAGTGCGTATATGTGACAACAAATGATGTTACAATACACGTGCCCTTTGAACGGCCGAGCAAGGTAAACAGCCATGTAAGCGGTCTTATGCATATAGATTTTTCCTAAACAAACATAATACTAAGTAATACCCGTGTCATACCAACGATACCAACATCAGATCATCGACAATTAACAGACCAAAGCAAGAATTACACTACCATCCAAGGTTAAGAATCGGTCGATTAGGATTCGGTTCGGTGATCTGACTGTGTCAGTCAGGCGCGGATCCAGGATTTCTTAGGGGGGTTTTTTTTTTTTTGGTCCGAAAATAAATCGTAACGACTCAGCCAGCCGCTAAATAAGCGGGGGGGGGGGGGGGGGGGGGGGGGGGGGGGGGGGGGGGGGGAAGAGGACACTTTTTTTTTGGTCTCGAAATTTGAAAATTTTACATTTTGTTCCGTTGGGGGGGGGGGGGGGGTGTGGTCACCTTTTTTAGGTCAGCCATTGGCATATTTTTTTTTGTAAAAAAAAATCACAGAAAAGGGGGGGGGGGGTTGCTCCAAAATACACACATAAAAAAACCGAAGGGGGGAGGGTCTACCCCCTAACCCCCTCCCCCCTTCCGTACGTGCCTACTCGTCTGAAAATAGTTTTTCCCCTCCCGCGCGAAGCGCGGAAGCTTTTACGTTTCATTAAATCATTAGAAAAAGAAGACGATTCGTTGTACAGTTTTTTTTACTCTTAATCCTCGTCTTAATTCATCCCCTCTCCCGCGCAAACCTCGGAAGCTTGTACGTTTCATTAAATCATTAGAGAAAGAAGACGATTCGTTGTACCGTTCTCGAAAATAATCCTCGTCTGAATACAGCTTTCACGTTTCATTAAATCATTAGCGAAATAAGACGATTCGTTGTGCCGTTATTACTTTTAATCCTAGTCTAAATTCAGTTTTCCCCCGCTTCGACGTTTCATTGAATTTTTAGAGAATGAAGACGATTCGTTGTTCCGCTCTCAAAAATAATTTAGTTTCGCCCACCCGCGCGAAGCGCGGAAGCTTTTACTTTTCATTAAATCATTAGAGAAAGAGGAAGATTCGTCGTACCGTTCTCGACTCTTAATCTTTGTCTAAATCAATTCCCCCCCCCTTCCGCGCGAAGCGCGGAAGCTTCGACGTTTCATTAAATTACTATAGAAAGAAGACGATTCGTTGTACCGTTCCCGAAAATTATCCTCGTCTGAATTAAGTTCCCCCTGCCCTCCCCCGCGCGTAGCGGAAGCTTTGACGTTTCATTAATTCATTAGAGAAAGAAGACGATTCGTTGTACCGTTCTCGACTCTTAATCCTTGTCTGAATTTCAAATATGTTCTTTGTCTATTCCCCTTTTTTCCTACGTCCTCTTCCTTTACACACCTCTCTTTTTTGGCCGGCGTTTATTGGGGGATCACCCCACCGCCCCCTGGCTACGCGCCTGCTGTCAGATGAACATATGTTGATACCTTGTCCGCCCCGGAAGCTCATGGGTTTAAGGTTTTAATTTACGGTCAGATTAGCATTCAGGAGTCCGCCTTAGCGCCCTAGACGGGGTCCAGGGGGGCAGAGCCCCGGAAGTTCAGGAGATTAGGCATTTTAATACGGTCAGATGAGCATTATTTTGATACCTAATTGTTACAATGGCAGGTCACTAATTGGCTTGGGGTTCATGGGGGGAGCCCCGGAATCTCAAGGGTTTTAGGCACTCAATTACGGTCAGATGAGCATCTAAGGGCCCGCCTAAGGGCCCTAGGTGGAATCCAGGGGGCAGAGCCCTTAGGATTTTAGGCATTAATTTTAATCATGGTCAGATGAGCATATTTTGATACCCCATTATAATGTGACACTGGCAGTTAACTATTTTTTCTTTCTCGCTCTCTTTCTTTCTATTTCTCTTTAATATACTTTTTCAAAGAAAGTGTGGGGGGAGGGGCTCGAGGATCCCGATCCCCGCCGTTCCGCGGGCCCTGATATGTAGGCATCTCAAGAAGCATTTTCTTGTCTGGCTGTAAATTTAGGAATTTGTCATTTTCCAACAAACGCATGAAGTGAGGAAAATTATCTCATTTCAGCATTATTTGTTAACCACCGTTATGGAATTATAAATAAACCACGTTTGAATTCTATTTCTCCACCCCCCCCCCTCCGATCTACACCTTGTTGGCGGGAAAATTGCAACTGATATCCCCCTTCTTTTCTTTTCTTCTTCCTATTTTGTCCTTCCCTTTATCACCTCTTTATCTTTTTTCTTTCCCTTTCCTTCCTTCTCTTTTATTTTTTTATTGGGGGGAGGGGGGAAGGGGGAGGCAAGTCCTCCCCCCGATCTCCTTCTTCCCTCTTTTCTTTTCTTCTTCCTCTTCTTTTTCCCCTTTCTCTCCTCTTTCCCTTCTTTTCCTTCTCTCTCCCTCTCCTTTTTTTATTTGGGGGGGGGGGGGCAAGGCACGCTCGCCCCCCTGGATCCGCGCCTGGTGTCAGTAATCAGAATGAACCAGGAAGCAATATGAAAAAAATATATATTCCTAATTCAAAGCAAAGACAAATTAAGGAAGCAAATCGGATAATACCACATACATGTTTGAGGTGACGAAACCACTCCACTTGGCTTGCTCATACATTGTTATTACGGTCTTAGTTGATGGTTTAGTGTTTTGTTTGTTAAGAAAGATTGATATGAATATGCGTGGGATATCTTTACACTGGTATATCTTCTTGCAAGTCACACTTATAGGAGAATTAACGTGCGGTAAGTAGGTGCTTCAATATTACTCAGTCAGTCAGGTTATATCGCCGTTCTTGTGGCCCTAATTATCTACCGCTGATCCTTTACCGGCCGCCCCGGAGCTGTGGGCAGTGGTGTCGTCAGTGGTGCCGGTCACGTTTTCAGCAATTAGGGGGGAAATGTAAGACTTAGTATTGCCATGATCATAGAGGGGTAAATAGATAGAAAGAGAGACACAGAGGGAGACATAGTCTGGAAAGAGAGGGTACGAAATAGTTTGAAAAGGTAAGAAGAGTGCGTATATGTGAAAAGAAAATTAAAGGTAGAGAGAGAGAGAGAGAGATAGAGGGAGGGGATTGAGAAAAGAGAGGAAGAGCTTTAAATTGTTTTCAAGATTTGATGAAATTGACATAGATGTCCGCTTATCGCTTACATATAAAAATGAGTACTGATGGTTAGATTATTCGCTGTGAAAGAAACTGTTAACAAAAACTGTACATAGGATAAAAGTTGAAGTAGGCCTACACTATGATGTTTTGGAATAACCGAAAGTCACATACATGGTACAAAACAATGGGAACATGGGACTACACACACAAGTTGACAGTGCTCAACCTTCTTTTCAATATACAATCATTCCTATATATTCATCTCCTTTCTAGACAACTATAATGAAAGGGATAGTTGAGTTCTGTTCTCAGATCTCAAATGCCTTCAAAGTGCATGGTTATCGTTCTTATTTTTATCTATATATGACATTTCTAGTGCTCTTTTAGGACCTAAAATTGCTAAGAGGGTAATTTTAGACCCCAAAATGTGTGATATTTAGCCAATACGATCATATCAATTCAGCTCCACTTAAAACAAAATACGGTGACCATTATAATAATAACAATACATGGGCCGGATGATTGCGCGTAATATAACCAACACGAAAAAGCCACCATCCGTATTGGCTGAAATACAACGTAATAGGCGCTATTTTATTTTTTCAATGGCTTTCAACGGCTGGTTTAAATTATCAAGTATTTGTGGTGGTACACAAGTATTAGAAATCGTTATATTTATGGATATTTCAGCCGTCTCTAAACTGATTTTGATCGTATGTTCTTTCAACAGAAGAACAGCCTTTGGCTGAAGTTGGTGCCGTGCAAAAATAAAATAAACTGAACTGAACTGAACTGAACAGTCAGTTTTTCATTTCTCACAAAAAAATATTTTGTGTAGCGCCCTCTGCAACAGAACTCAACTATCCCTTTAAGTAATCACGTGACTACTCTCCGGTACTGAACAGTAACTCACTTTCGATATAAGTGTGTGTTAGGTCGGATGGGTTAAGTGATTGTTTTACAAGACTGGTACTATTATAGTAATTGTCGACTTTGTATAGCGCTTAATTCTACGTTTATAAGCGATTTCCACTTTGATCATTTACGCCGGTCTATGTACCTGAAGCACAACTTCGTTGTTACTATGACGACAAACATTTCATGTATTATTTGCCTGAAATTCATGTTCGTTTCGTCATCTTCAATTTCAGTTTTTTGTTATGTTTGTATATGTTTGTATAAAGCATAGCAAACATTTACATGTTATTGTAATCGATGAATAGTCTTCATGGTTGCTGCAAATGTTTTTCGTTTCCCATTTTATTAGCAAGCAAGGGAAATATTAAAACTTCATGAAGGTCTTGGATCTGAATTTTACTACGTAATTTTTTGTGAGAAATTACATGAGAGATCCCGTGATGCGCATGCGCGGTCAATTCGTTTTGCAATTGGCGGTCACACAACGTCGACTGTGATTCCTCACAGTTTTCTTTCGTTTTTATACCCTAAACGACTTTTTCGCCGTTCGCCACAATTTCCGATTGAGTATTTATTTATTACTCCGACTTTTCCTTGCTTTTTGGAGTTACTCCGTCATTTTCCGACTTTTGGTAGAGTATTTTTCACCGGCGGAGACCACAGCATAAGTGCAGCAGGCGAGACGTCGGCACAGCCAGACGCACGCCATAGCTCCGGCCGCGGGCATGGGAGTAATAGCTGCCGTTGTTGGTACCGGTACACTGCAAGTGATCGAGCTACAAACATTCGAAGCCCGTCGGGCTCGATTCAAAGTTTTACTTCTAGCAAGAACTAATCCAAAAAGGGGCTCGATCAAATCTGACAAAAGGAAATCTAAGATGACAAAGAAATCACCACAGCCTCAAAAGGCAGTTTAGATCTAACCCAATTTTGGGGATAGACTGGACAGACTCGAACTTAAACTAACTGTCTTATAAAGGTAAAGACCAGTAATGGTCATGCGATTGCATTGTGAAAGAAACGTTGTGGAATCGATCAGAAAAGGTTGATCATCTAGCATCTAGCATCTGCAAGGTTCTGGAATCATCAAAATGATAAGAAATTTGGCCCATTCTTCGTAAAGTTACAAGCACTATACACAGAAAGATGTATATGGGACTACCCTATCTCTCCCACCAGACCATGAGAGAAATAAATTTACCAAATATATGAATTAGTAGGCGGTTTCCCGGCAAATTTTTATCATCATGTATTAGTCAAAACATATTCTTTCACATGATTGGTAATGAGAGCTTCCATTTCATTTTTTGAAATTGGGGCGTTGCCAATACTGGTCTTTACCTTTAAGCTCTTGTGGGCAAAATCATGGAAAGTCTCCCTCAGACCATGTATCACGGCGCAGCCGGGAACTTATACTTTGCGCTCTTTTCAGAGCCGAGCTGTGGACTTTATGGATACCTCAGACATCGACGAACCTCTTGCCGGTCAAGCCTTAGTTTAAGGTTTATGATCATTGTGAGGATTTTTCTGAACATGAAATTAAAGGAGGTAAATCTAGAGCTAGTTGAACCTAAGCTCGCAGCTAAATTTGCTCAATCTAGTGAGATTGGAGAACCAGTTAATAACGATTTGGTCAGTTCGGCAACCTGCTTAATCTCACACCAGTTGGAGGGGAAAATCCTAAATGAGATTGAGGAAAATAAAATCCTGTACCACAAGTAGACCTTATTTTACAAGGGTACAGCTCTCCACTTCACTTGATGCGTCTGATGACGTTATCTCCTTTTCACAGCAGGATGCTTTGACTCTGTTGAGCAATGCCTTTTTTGAACCTTTAACTCTTTCGCAAGCATCTGATCAGTAGACATGAACGCTTGCTTCACGCACCTCTGCTACTCTGCTAACCCACATCGATGGTTGGGAAACAGTTATTTGGTGATCGATTTTTCAAATTTAATGAACATTTTTGCAGGAACATCAGAAGGCCACAGCAAGGGTGATGAGGCCGCAAAGTATGTTCAGCTCTAGTCAGCACAGCCATCAATATCACCCCTACGCCAAATGTCAAGTCCAAGTACCATGATGCCGGATGGACGCTGTCCTCCAGACATCAATTTTCCAGCCGATCAAACCTCAAGGCTGGTACAATGTAGTTCCAACAAGCCTTTTTAGGCAATCCAGCCCCATCAGGGGCAGACACTCCATCAGAAGGACAGACATCATAGCAGCACCCCGCCTCGGCTGGGAGCAAAACGACAATTCTACAAGAAGAATTAGACAGCACCAGCCTCGAAGAGGTAGGACAGATTCTCACTCTAAAATGTCAAGTTTTAACCTTGTTGGAGGTCGACTGAACCAATTCTATGATTATTGGTGCAATATTACATCAGATCCTTTTATTTTGGCTGCGGTGCAAGGGTACAGACTTGAATTTGACCCACAGTTCATGCCGCCCAAAATATCTAAGCCTTACTTCCAATACAAGTCCTATGAAACAGTACAAGCTGCTTTAAGCAATGAAATTGCGAAGCTTTTTGGATAAGAATGTCATTGAAATGAGCATTCATGAAGAAGGCGAATTTATTTCAAACATTTTCACTCGCCCCATGAATAATGGTGGGTTTGGTCTGATTTTGAACCTCTCAGACCTTTACATAAACCTTCAGTATCACCCCCCGGCCCCCCCCCCCCCCCCACTCAGGGGTCGGAATGACCGCATGCGTGTTGCCAAAATGTCCGGTAAAGGGGTACTTTTCGTGCGACAAAGTCCGGCCCGAGAATGGTAAAAAAAGGGGTGTATTTGACTTTCACCCGGAGATTTCTTCAAAAAAGGGGTGTTTTTTTCTTTTTTTTTCTTATCTCTTTGGACTCCTGAGAAATTATTCCGAATTTAGGGGGGTACATTGAGTATTTTTCCTGATTTAGGGGGGTCTCCAAAGCAGGAAAAGGCCGCGAAAAGCCCGCGAAAGGGGGGTTCGAAAATGTTGGCAGTCCTCAGATAGGGGGTGCTTTAAAAAATAGGGAACGAGCATATGCGTACCCTAAATAACACTGAGTGGGGGGGGGGGGCGGGGTATCACCATTTCAAGATGGAAGATATTCATGTAGCTACTAGCTATTTATCTCTTTTCTCCATATTGTTACCTTGCTTTAGTCGACCTCCAAGATGCTTATTATTCTGTCCCCATTTTTCCAAGCCACACACAAATATTTAAAGTTTGTGTGGATAGGGCAACTGTTTCATTTTAGGCCCTACCTAATGGCCTTAGCACGGCACCTAGACTGTTTACCAAATTTCTTAAGCATGTCCTTGCCTCTCTTAGACAATCAGGTCATGTAGTAGTTGGGTATCTTGATGATACCATAATTATTGGTAAAGACAGGTAACGTACAGAGACAGCAATAACTGCAACTACAGATACTCTAACTGAGTTAGATTCCCTGATTCATCCTGAAAAGTCAGTTCTTACACCCAATGAAGGAGAAATAATTCCTTGGGTTCATGCTAAATTCAATAATCATGCAAATTTCTCTACCTGAGGATAGAAGGATGATTTAGTCAAAGACTGCACAGCTCTCTTTCATGTCAATAAACCCTCTATTCGAGATGTTGCTAGAGTGATAGGGAAGTTGATCGCAACTTTTCCCGCTGCACAATACGGTTCCATGTTGTATCGATTCCTTAAAAGGGATAAGATTGCCGCCCTGAAGAAGTATAATGGGCATTTTGATGGACCTATGAAGCTGTCCTCTAAGGCAAAAGATGAATTACTTTGGTAGATTAAGAACGTAAAATTCTCCCTCTCCCCCAAATAGACGGGAAAAACCTGACATTGAGCTATGTAAAGATGCTAGTGGCTCGAGCTGGGGAACAACTAACCTCCACACTAAAACAGGAGGTAGGTGGAATGAGCAGGAGTTGAACCGAGCTCAAAATAATGAGATTAATTATTTGGAAACGCTAGCCGCTGGCCTAGACTTAAGGGTGTTTTGCGATGATGTACATGTACTCGTGAGATTATACAATCAAACAGCAGTAAGTTATTAAATAACTTTGGAGGCATCAAATTTTAGATTGCGATCTCATGGCCTCTGAAATTTGGAATTGGTGCATGATGAGAATTATCTTGATAACACCTACCAGGTCGTCTTAATTCTGAGGCTGACCACATGTCCCGAAAATTCAATGACAGGACTGAATGGGTGTTGGATAAGAAAGCCTTTCAACAAATTGTTGACTATTTTGAGCTGCCTGAAATGGACCTTTTCGCATCCAGACTGAATGCTCAGCTCCATAAATTTGTATCTTGGTTGCCAGAACCTGGCGCCAAAATAGTAAATGCCTTCACAATAGATTGGGGTCATCTCAATTTGTATGCCTTCCCCCTTTTCTGTCTGATATCGAATTCTTACAAAGAAGATACTATTAGATGAGGCGACGGGTCTATTTAGTACAATTAGTAGCTCCTAATTGGCCCACACAGGCTTGGTTCCCATTTTTGAAGGATTTTAATACTTGGCGAACCTCTGTTGCTTAAAAGAAGAAATGACCTCCTCAAGCAGCCAGTATCTAAATTAACTCGTCCACTTTCTCCTCATCTTGATTTGTTGTGATGCAGGATTTCTGCAGACATTTCCAGGGTAAAGGACTAAACAACAGGACAGTACAGGTCATCGCAGCCTCCTGGCGAGCTTCCACCAAAAAACAATATTATGTTAACATAAGGAAGTGGAAACTGTTTTGTTCAATCAGAACTGAACTACCTGCATAGTACGGCAGAGATTGTACTTGAATTCCTTTCAGAAATGTTTCATGTGCATGGGCAAGCTACAGCTCACTCAATATACAGCTAGAAGTGCTTTAGCAACTTTTCTCATTTTGGAAGGACCCTATTCAAACGGATCCTATATTCTTGTGTCTCGAATTTTAAAAGGAGCTTTTCAGTTAAGGCCTCCAACAGCAAGGTACTCTCACATCTGTGATGTGAAGGTGGTACTTAACTACTTAAGAAAGCTGGTTCCAGCGAATTCGCTAAATTTTAAATCAATAGTCACTTAAACTTGTTTTGTTTATTGCACTGGTATCAGCTCAACGTGTGCAATCTATTCATAACTTGAACCTTGACAATATGATTTTCAAGGACAGCTCAGTGAAATTCTCTTTCACTACATTGCTCAAAGATCTTCGTCCAGGCAATGCTAGTGGTATGCTGAGAAGATGAAAGCATACCCAGTTAATAGACGACTATGTATGTTTCGTTATGTCAAGCAATATCTGCTTCGTACTAAACATCTAGAGGAGGTGAGAAATATCTCTTCATCAGTTTTCAGAGACTAAATAAACGTGTCAGTAATCTAACTATTCCGGATGGTTTAATACAACTTTGTCCTTGGCTGGAATTGATACGGACATTTACTGGTCCTATTAGACCAGTGCTGTTTCTACATCGGCAGCACAGAGGTCTGAAATTCCTATTTCTGAGATTTACTCAGCAAGATGGGCTGGTCCAGTGAACGTACGCTATTAAATAGGAAGTTCTTTCACAAGCACCTCAACACATAATCTTAATCTTTCACACAAGCAGTGCTAGGGGCGAACTCTTTAAGTCAGTGTTCTTAACAGACTGGACACTTGTCATCTCTATGTAACCTGAGATGTTTTCGTAGAGCAAGGACTCTTAGACAATAAACTGTTACACCAGTATATCATAATCATAGACTTTTGAGGGAATGCTTGTCCCTCTTTTCTGGAGTTGCTTTGAACTCACTCCTGAATTTTAAGTCAGGGTAATTTTATTTTGCGTATTTTCCGCAAATGTAAGTTTACTTGTGGGTTCTTCCCCAAGTCATTGTTTTTCCTTACTTGGTTATTGTGACCCATGCATAGTATTCATGGGTAAACAAATGTACCTTCAGAGCTACAAAGTCTCATGTAATTTCTCACGAAAAATTACGTAGTAAAAAAGAAAGATTAAATGAGAACTTACCGTTTGAAATTTAATCGTTATTTTAAGAGTAATTTGTAGGGAGAGATTACATGCCCGCCTCTCCCTCCCGTGCTCTTAGAATTCAGTAAATTCTCATTAGCTTAATCTTTCTCGTGTTTTTAAGTGTAGGTACATTTGTACTACAAATATTGACCGCGCATGCGCATCAAGGGATCTCTCATGTAATCTCTCCCTACAAATTACTCTTAAAATAAAGATTAAATTTCAAACGGTAAGTTCTCATTTAATCTTTCTATTATGTTTTATTTTCTCGTTTATTTGCTTTGTAACTTTGTATCGTATTCCAAGAGAAATGATCCAATAATTTCATTTCTAAGATGGCGCTCAGAGGGAATTTCTTGAATATCATGTCCATTACCATAATAATACTGGACATGGACTTTAATATCAAATGAAAGTTTAACATGTTTTAGAAAAGCTTAACGGTGGTTGATAAACATATACTGTATGCCTTTGGTAAAAAGAATAGGAAAATATCACGGTTACTTTTCAAGGAGGATAGACGGTATTTTCAAAGAGATTCTCGGACATTCGTGTTCTATGGGCGTGTCAATTGGCCTTCATGTTTGTGGGTGTGCGAGGGTGTGCATGCGTGTGCGTCTGCCCATGCACACGTGAATAATGTGTACAATTTACTTATAACTTATGTTTATGTACTTTAAGTTTACCTTCAATTTTAGCTCAGTTATATATACTGCATATGAGTTGTTGTTTAATTATGTTTTTGTTTATGTATAAGCAATCAATATTAAAAACGTTTTTATTTTATTGTATGTTTGTAATACACTATTGGAGGAATAAAACAAAATTTAAAAAAAAGAAAAGAAAAGTGTGCGTGTGGGTGTGTGTGTGTTTGTGTGTATGTTGGCATGGAGTTAGATTAGATAGAAGAGAGAGAAAGAGAGAGAGAGAAAAAAAAAAGAAGGAGGAGCAATTTCTATATCTTCCAAAATACAGGTTAAAGGTAATACAAAGTTTTGGTATGGGGTCGTGAATTTGGTTCAAATGAACATATTGGAAGCATGTGCGATCCTACAATATTCACTGATCGTTGTCGCGGTCGAAACCGACTCTAAAAGTTATGAAATTGTAAATAATAAACACTTTATGTTGTATAGCCCCCTCTCAAGGTCAATATATTAATTAAGCTATAAAACAATGTTTCCTGACTAAAATCGACCGATTAGCTATTCCCGTTCGGAAATTATAAACCACAACTACATATTCAGATATTTTCATGGTCGCAGCTACCATTGTACGGACGTAGGAGCTATTCGAAATTTATCAAAATTTACCGGGAGCACCGGTAAATCTTTATATTCAATTTTTCTCGAAAGCAGAGTGTTTTAGTGGCTAAAGATTCTAGTGTTTTTAATACATCCACAGGGGCATCCAAATATATCAAAATTGTAAAGAATCACTATCCACCCATTTTTCAAAATTTCCCAAAACTTTGTAATACCTTTAATATTGACTTTAAATTGTGCTTCTCTGGTTTGGTTGATTTTTTCATATTTGTTCGACATTCTCTACTTCGAATTCTCGAGGAGACGAGCAAAAGAAAAAAAAAACGAAAGAGAGAAAAAAAAAAAAAACACAAACATTTGCTTCCAAAAAAGGAAACATTACGTGTATATGAAAACTCATTTGATTTGTTTTCATTCTGCAGCAAACGTTCTGGATGTGACATGCATCAACTTCAACCCCATCTACGATACCAGCTCCACAGCATCCTACGCCGCCATCTTGAATGGAGCTGACGTCACAAGCATGGTGTCCTTCCAGAGGTCGGTATACTTGGATACGGGGGACAGGCAGTCAACCTGGTGTTCGCTGGGTGATGATGCAGGAGCATGCGGGTTGCCTCCAGGATCGACGATCGACGCATCGGGAAGAGTTGCTTTCCAAAGTACAGATCAAGATAAATTTGGTGCTTACGGATGCCGAGCGCAGAGATACAACTGGACGACTGAGACGTCCACTATATTCATCAGAAATGATGGTGAACAAAAATTAAAAATGATAATGATATCTAAAATAATAATAATTATTATAATGATAACGATAATTTGTATTACCCGGGGTAGCCTCATCAGCATTAATGTTGTTCTCCCTAAGGGCCTTGCAATCATTATTACCCCATTTTTAGCCAGGGACCTACTTTACACACCTCGGTGAAAAGTAAACAAATTGAATCAATGTCTAGCCACAGGACGTCAGGATATTAAATGCATTGTATGTATATTTTATCATTGATAAGTGCACAACTAAAGCTTTAAAACGCTTAATGAGAGTTGTACATGATAATATTCCTACAGCATTGTTACTTGTGCATCATAAAGTACTCGACTTGAATTCTAGATGATGAAATATATTTTGTCAAAATAATGGACAGTTATGAAAATGAGGTTTCGAAATAAAAAATGCTAATCTGTTAATAATAACTGAATTTCTGGATTTTGTTCCATATTTGTTTATCTCAAATATCCCAAATCCAGGCTTTAGGGGATGGGGGAATCGTCAACGTCCTCCCTGAATGCGCAACTCCAGGGATAATTTGAGTTTTGTTAGACATTCATTCAATACTATCAGGGGTATCTTGTAAATGGTGCATACACACGTCACGTGTAAAAATAATAATTTGATATATACTTTACAAATATACACTGATTTGCAATAATGTACTTTCATTCTATAATTGGTAACATTTTTTCACTGGAGACTAGATGAAATAAATTGTTATCTTGTAACGATTATAGACTGTAATACAAGGGCGTCAATCCTTACGTAATACCTATTGTTCAGGGGGGATGAATGAATAGATCACCCCCTAAACAATAGGTATCAATTACAGATCTACGCCCATGCTCTAATATTAATAGAAAACTACAATAAACAACATTTTGAATACGATTAAAGCTCAATTAAATGATTTCGCATGAAATGTGTAAAAATGAAGTTCCTTCAACAAATACAACATCAATTTTGATGTATTTTTTCTTCTCTTTCGTTTAGCTGATTTCACTCCTGATTACTTCACGGTTACAGTAAGTCTCGATGAGGAGGTTCGTCTGGTAATGACTCCTGGATCATCTAGTGGAACTGGTCCACTAGAATGGATATTAAATCACGAAGATGGTGGCCAATCTTACCTGTCTTCTAGTGTTTCTGGGGATGCCCTCTACATCAGCAGGGCTAAGAAAGCGGACCATGCTGGTATTCACCATTACTTCTATTCCGACGATCCAGATAAAGGAGGACTAATGAAGCTTATTGTTAGAGGTAATCATGTCCTTTTCACATGTGGGAGCGAAGACGTTGACTTGCAATTAACTTGACTTGATATTTGTTTCCAGCCATTTAAGTTTACCTAATCCTATTTTATCCGGGAAGCTGTCTCGACGAAATTTTTTGTGTGTGTACAGCTGTGTATATATATATATATATATATATACAGCTACGTCTCGCGTTCCTAGACCATTTTCTTCACGCCTATATATATTTGTAAATATATATATATATATATATATATATATATATATATATATATAAATATTTATGTCATTCAAATGTTTTTTATGTTTAGAATTGCATGATTTCAACTGAAGTTTTTTTACAAATGTTTTCTACGAAAATGGAATCTAAAATAAGGAACTTGAATTAAACTGAATTTAAAATAAGCTTGAATTGATATTCGGAATCCGACTATTCTGGCTTTTTGTCGATATATATGCCTTTTCAAAACTACAATTATACCTGAAAAGCGTCTTTGATATCTTCGTAATGGTTTGCACCTTCATTTAAGAAAGTAGAGAATGAAAGATTGATATCATGTAATGTTCATTGTGTGGAGTTTTGAAGATTTTGTTTATGTTTTTTTCGTTTGTTGGACCATATATTTACGAGGTCCCTACAAATGCATTTTTTGTAAATATTATGTTTTCTTGATCCGTCAATGATTCACTTTCGGGATGCAGGACTAATATTTGCACGACGATTAAGACTTTTTTTAATGGTTACAGCTTGTCTTGATAACCTATGGGGACCTGGCTGTCAGTACACATGTCCTACATGCTACAATGGAGGAGTCTGTGATGATGTGAGTGGACGCTGTGTGTGTCCACCTGGTTTCAGTGGCGACCACTGCCAAATTGGTAAGTGAAAACAAAAAATGGCGCAATTCTTGTTATTTACTCTCTGATATAATAATAAAAGAAGAAAAACATTGATTTTAAAGATAACATTATAAAGAATAGTAATTAGAACAAATGGTGGTGACAATAATAATAATAATGGTAATAATAATACTTATTATAATAAAGATAATAATTGTAATAATGAGAAGAAAAAGAATGAGAAGAAGAAAGGAAAAAAGAGAAGAAGAAGAAAACGAAGTTGCTACTACTACTGCTACTACTTCCACAACTACTAATGCTGATGTTACTTCTTCTAACACTACTACTGCTGTTTGTACTACTACTACTACTACTACTACTACTACTACTACTACTACTACTACTACTACTACTACTGCTGCTGCTACTACTGCTGCTGCTACTACTACCACTACTACGCACAACCTATGAATGCTTTTCTCTTTCATGTCTATTCGAAATTGTATACAGCATGTGAAGCTGGTAAGTTTGGACAGGGATGTTCTGGATCTTGCACTACCCTTGAATCTGGTCGGACTGACTGCAGTGGAGCTGTGTTCTGTCTCTCGGATCCGCATGGATGTTCGTGTGCTGCAGGGTGGACTGGGTTACAATGTGACCAAGGTAAGAGAGAACCAGGGCCCCGTTGCAGAAAACTTACCATTGATGGTAACTTTGCCATCAATGGCAACTACCATGGTAACAGTGCTCGACAGCCAATCAAAATCAAGGTGTCCTTACCATTGATGGCAAAGTTACCATCAATGGTAGGTTTTGTGCAACGGGGCCCTGATGACATGACGGTTATCATGCAAAGCGATGTTTGCTTGACATGCCATAACCTTGGAACGATTGCGTCATTCAGTCTAATAACACTTTTGTTTATAGTTCAATGTACGTCAAGTACATATAAATGGTCTTGTAATACATTTGATGAATCTGATGATATTGATAAAAACAAGACTAACTAGACTTTAATTCGTCACTTCGACGAATTAGGTGATACGTATGATAATGGTTTACATAACGAATAATGCATTACACGATATATTATTTTATAAAATGCTTTTCCTATTATGATCTATCCATATGTCAAGTTTAAATTGCGTCCTCTTGATCAGGAATCTAGGGAAGATAGATTGAAACAATATATGACCTTTGACCCTGTACAGTAACCAGTTACACCTTTGACTCTAATTTACATCATGAAGAACACATTTTGACGATTTTATCTTATTCAAAGAAATGAAAATGTAATTGATAAATGATTATCATCATTATGATAATGATGATCATGATGATAATGATCATGATCATGATCATGAGCACGATCCTGACATCTTATTACAAAAAATGAGGGTTGATTTAGATAGCATAAAGTCTCAGCGACAACATACTCAAAAATCAACAAAATCCAAGCAGAAATATCGACGATGTTGCTCAAAACACAGGAATGTAGAATCCAGATTTGAGAAAAAGTCATCTCCCATAGGGATTACACGCAAAAAGTAATGGAATAAGTGAAAATAGGGTAATAATAAAGTAAATAGGGTTGTTTTATACATTATTTGCGAATCTACATGTTTTAATAATCAAAGGAGATGGTACAGTGAAAGGTCAAATAGAAAAAAAAAGTGGAAAAAAAATAGTTGGAGACACCCAGACTCGAACCAGGGATCTCGAGGTTGGAAGTCAAGAGCGTTACCGATATACCAAAACATTTCCCATAGAAATTACACGTAAACGGGAAATGGAATTCTGAAATCCTACTTTGCAAGTAAAATATGAGCATGATCCCGGCATCTAATCGAAAAATAAATGACACATTTTAAAAGGTAATTGTCTCAGCTACAACATTTTCGAAGCTCAGCGAAAACAAAGCTAAAACAACAGAGATTTTGCTCGCGAAAGACAAAAATGTAGAATCCACTTTTGAGAAAAAGTCATGTCCCATAGAGAATACACGCAAAATGTGAAAAATTGACATGCCTCCTTTAATCGCAAAAATACACCATGATACTTTTGTCAAAAATAAAAATTGTGAAAAGTGCATTTGTAGAAAATTGTCTCAGCTAGAACATATCAAAATTTGAAACAAATTCAACCAATATTTACAGAGATACAATCAGTTTTCCAAAAATATGCTTACGTCATAAGGTGCAAATTAAAATTTTGAGTTCGGAGGCCATTATGATGACGTCATGAGTTAATTGAGGATCAAATGAGACATGAAATCATATCTCCGACTCATAATCTATCCAAATATGAAAAAATATTAGAAGTTTCTATCTATTCTAAAGAGTTACAATGAATTTTATATAGGCATGTTTTTGCCCATGTATTGTGGATAAAGATAACGCAAATCCGCGCGTGCTGTCAACTTTGACGGACGCTCATTGCGTTAATAAAAGGTGAACAAATTATCAAAATGCTTGGAAAAATGTGCCAAATATGATGACAGAGAAAATTCGGCGATTCTATGTTGCAAAATGCTAGTACGCGCAAAAAACGCGCGCGCATGCGCGTATGCATGATTTTTTGTCAAATGCTTTAAATGGCCTGAAACGTATGCAAAAAAAGTTTAAGACGATTTTGAGCAATTTAAAATTTTACGTGCGCGTTAACGCGCGCACAAACGCGTACGCGCGCATTTGCGCGCATTTATTGACCTGAAATTGACCGGACGGATATCGATCTTAATCATGATGAATATGAATGAGAAATTCCTTTCCGTTATGAAGATATGATCATAAGTTGATTTTCACAAAATGGCGCCTGGATGACGTCATGATAATTTTGACCCTCTAAAAAGTCACGCAGTTCTAAGTTAGACTAAGATCTATCATCATGGCAAGTTTCATGACAATGGCTTTATTCAGTCTTGAGATATCCTGCGAAAAAAATCGAGGAAGAATAATAGGAAGAAGAAGAATAAAAATCTTGACGAAATCAATAGGTGATACGTAGACTTCGTTACGTATCACCTAATAAACAAATAAATAAATAAATAAATAATAAAAATCTTGACGAAATCAAAAGGTGATACGTCTACGAACGTATCACCTAATAATTTTACCCTCTTCAGTTGCGGCTATAGAAAAATAATTTAGGGGAGGTATTAGGGGTTTCGGTAGTTCTGATGTTTATAATATTGGGGGAGGGGGGGGGGGGGGGCTTGAACATTTACTTTGGGGGGTCGAGATCCTTAATGCCGCTGATGCCGCTATGGCCGCTGATGATTCTCTTTCTTCCTTGCTGTTTATCTCTGTTATCTCCGCAAAGCACATCTCGATGCCTAGTATGGCACATGATGCAATGAGGGTCGAGCGGCATAGGGGGCTTAGGTAGTTTTATTGTAAGGGGGCGGCCTTTCTTTAGAATTAATAATTGTTTTTAATGATTCTTGATATCATTTATTACTAATTTTTACTAATTTGGTATTTATTTATTCATGTATTTATTTACAATTTTCATTATTTTTCAAATTATATTCTTTTTAGGGGGGGGGGGGGGGCTAAAGGATTACTTTTTGGCGTGGTGAGCCCCCATGCCCCCCCCCCCTCATAACCGCTACTGATCCTCTTTTCTTCTTACTTGCTCTTTTATCTCCACAAAGAATGTCCTGATGGTTCGTACGGCGCAGGATGCACGGAGACATGTCACTGCGTCTCTCCAGGAACATGCGACCGTCTTACCGGTGCCTGTTCTAATGGTTGCGAAGATGGCTGGATTGGAGATCAATGCCAAGGTAAAGGATCATAAAGAAAGTACTCAAATTGGAATTGTGACCGTGCCTAAGTTCAGGCGCGGATCCAGGATTTCTTAGGGGGGGGGGGCCAAATTTGAAATTTTGCGAGCCAAATATTGGTACGTAATGGTGACCAACAGTGACGTAATGCGGGGGGGGGGGGTCGGTGCAGGAAGGGGCGAGTTTCCTCCTTTTCAAATTATATTCTCCCTCCCTCCCTTCTCCCTCCCTCCTCCGCGAAACGCGGAAGCTTTGACGTTTCATTAAATTATTAGAGAAAAAAGACGATTCGTTGTACCGTTCTCGAAAAAAATTCTCGTCTGAATTAAGTTTTTCACCTCCCGCGCAAAGCGCGGAAAATTTTACGATTTATTTAACTATTAGAGAAAGAAGACGGTTCGTTGTAGAGTTTTCGACTCTTAATCCTCGTCTGAATTCAGGTCCCCCCCCTCCTCCGCGCGAAGCGCGGAAGCTTTTTTAGTTTCTTTCAATCATTAGAGAAAAAAGACGATTCGTTGTACTGTTTTCGAAATAATCCTCGTCTGAATTTAGATTTTCCCCCTCCCGCGCGAAGTGCGGAAGCTTTTACGTTTCATTAAATCATTCGAGAAACAAGACGATTCGTTTACAGTTCTCGACTCTTAATCCTCGTCTGAATTCAGTTTTCCTCCTTCCGCGCGAAGCGTGGAAGCTTTTACGATTCATTAAATCATTAGTGAAAGAAGACGATTCGTTGTACCGTTCTCGACTCTTAATCCTTGTTTAAATTCAGTCTCCCCCTCCCCCTCCTGCGCGAAGCGCGAAAGCTTTGACGTTTCATTAAAATATTAAAGAAAGAAGAAGATTCGTTGTACCGTTTTCGAAAATAATCCTCGTCTGAATTTAGATTTTTCCCCTCCCGCGCGAAGCGCGGAAGCTTTTACGTTTCATTAAATCATTCGAGAAACAAGACGATTCGTTGTACAGTTCTCGACTCTTAATCCTTGTCTGAATTCAGTTTTTCCCCTTCCGCGCGAAGCGTGGAAGCTTTTACGATTCATTAAATCATTAGAGAAAGAAGACGATTCGTTGTACCGTTCTCGACTCTTAATTCTTGTCTAAATTCAGTTTTCCTCCTTCCGCGCGAAGCGTGGAAGCTTTTACGATTCATTAAATAATTAGAGAAAGAAGACGATTCGTTGTACCGTTCTCGACTCTTAATTCTTGTCTAAATTCAGTTCCCCCTCCCTCCCCCTCCTGCGCGAAGCGCGGAAGCTTTGACGTTTCATCAAAATATTAAAGAAAGAAGACAATTCGTTGTACCGTTCTCGACTCTTATTCCTTGTCTGAATTCAGGTCCCCCCTCCCGCGGAAGCTTTTAATTTTCATTAAATCATTAGAGAAAGAAGACGATTCGTTGTACCGTTCTCGAAAATAATCCACCGCTGAATTTAGTTCCCCCTGTATCCCGCGCAAAGCGCGGAAGCTTTTATGTTTCATTAAATCATCAAAGATTCGTATTATAGTTCTCGCCTCTGAATCCTCGTTTGAATTCAGATTCCCCCCCCCCTCCCGCGCGCAAAGCGCGGAAGCTTTGACGTTACATAAGATTAAGAGAGAAAGAAGACGATTTGCTGTACCGTGCTTGATTCTGAATTTCAAAGATATCCTTTGTCTGCTCCTTTTTCTTCCTACGCCCCCCCCCCCCTCCCCTGGCTACGTGCCTGCGGTCAGATAAACACATTTTGATACCTTGTCCGACCCCGTAAGCTCAGGGGTTTAAGGCAATAACTTACGGTCAGATAAGCATTCAGGGGCCCGCCGTAGGGCCCCTGGTGGGGTCGAGACGGCGGAGCCGGCCCTGGAAGCTTAGGGGTTTTAGGCGTTTAATTAAGGTCCGATGAGCATTTTTTTTGTATACCTTATTATTTTGTGACACTGGCAGGACACTATTGGCGTGGGTTACAAGGGGCAGAGCCCCCCAAAATCAGGGGTTTTAGGCATTAAATTACCGTCAGATAAGCATCTATGGGCCCCCGTAGGGCCCTATAGGAGGAGTCCATGGGGGCAGAGCCCCCGGAAACTTAGGGGTTTTAGGTATTTAATCCAGTTCAGATGAGCATATTTTGATGCCTCATTATTTTTTTAACGGGCAGTTAACTATTCTCTCTTTCTTGCTCTCATTCTATTTTATTTCTCTTTAATATACTCTTTCAAAAAAAGTGTAGGGGGGGGGGGAGGGAGCTCGAGGCTCCCGATCCCTGCCGTACCTCGGACCCTGACATGTAGGAATCTCAAGAATCATATTTCTTACCTGGCTGTAAATTTAGGAATTTGTCATTTTCCAACAAACACATACAAACGTATAATTTACTAAAAAGTGAGGAAAAATCTCGGAAATTAAGTAATTTCAGCATTATTTGTAATCCACCGTTGTGGAATTAGAAATAAACCACGTTTGAATTTGATTTCCCCCAAGCCCCCTCCCCTCTATCCGTACGCCAGTATCTCCTCTTTTCCTTTTTTCTTTCCCTTTCCTTCCTTCTCTCTTATTTTTTTGATTGGGGGGGGGGGGGGGGGGGGGTCAACAGCCTGGGAGGCAAGGCTCTTTCGGCCCCCCCGATCTCCTTCTTTCCCCTTTTCTTTTTTCTTCCTCTTTTTTCTTTCCCTTTCTCTCCTCTTTCCCTTTCCCTTCTTTTCCTTTCTTCTCTCTCTCTTTTTTTTTTTTTTTTTTTTGCGGGGGGGGGGGGGGGGGCCAAGGCCCACTCGGCCCCCCTGGATCCGCGCCTGCCTAAGTTGTACTGATCAAGGCTATTAAGAAATTGCATAAATTAATGAAATGTAATGGGCAAACCTACATGGCAGACGAGCCGAAGTTAGGGTCATCTAGGTTTCAATTTTTCGTACACTTTCTACAGTTTACAAAACAGACTCGCCGACTTTAAAAGGTGGCAGAGGAGTTATATTATCCCGTCCTATGTAACAATTTAAAGGCACACTGCCATACTTGTAGCTTCTTGCTCCCTCTATATAGAAAACTTCCCCAATCGGTGCCTGTTGGTCCCCCATAATCCTCTTTTTCTTATGTTAAATGAGAGCTGAGTTAATGAGATAGCCACCTGTCACAGTGACCTCGATGGCTCGCTGTGTGGTCTAATCCCTTCTTGCCCAGTAGTGGTGACGGTCTTTAACAATCTTTATTGGTATATCAGGAACTATATGGATATTTTGTGGAAATCAATCAATTTCATGTTATTATTTGTGTGGGGGTTGGGGACGGTAGAGGCGTGTCAAACAAAATACTGCAAGCAATTCTCATTACAAGTCTTTTTTAATGTTTTATTTTTTTCTTATCAGAACAGTTGAAATCATTATGATTTATGTAGGAACCAAACATTGACATTGTTCCTTCTTTTAGGTCGTTTAGTAATTCGCACGTTATTTCGAAAATATGGGGTAAAACCATGCAATACCATGGTAATCAATATTTGATTTCTAATATCTGTACACCCTTTCCAATTTAAAATGTTTCTATTACGCAAAATATAATTTATTACAGATTATATGGGAACACTTCTTTAACTTTTCGAGTTGAGATATCAATTGCATCATTGTGTACTTGAAAAATATTGTTATCTGGAGGACTACTTCGAGATTTTCCCCTTTTTGACTGCAGTGACTATTTTGGACATCACAGCTATGTTAAGAGGAGGTGTCTATGATGCAACGGCTGACAATAATTTCCTTGGTATATTCATGATTGGGGATAGTACGGTAACCGGAGATCTTTCCTTGTCATATTACATCGGACGAGAAGTCGACACGGGACCAGGAGAGACTGGTCACGGAGCTTACTTAAAGGTTGATGGCTTAGCGGTGACACAAGCATGGGAAGAGACAGGGCTGCCTCCCGGAACACAGTTTACTAACGAAGTCCATACAGCGCAACGCTCGTTAAGAGCTGCACTGGATAAAACAAGTGGCGGAGATGCACGTGTCGGTGCATATCGAATGTCCGTCGATTTCAAGGGATGGACCGAGCGAAATCTCATGCTGAACGAGTTTCGCGGTGGTATGGTCGTTTGATTCATTAAGCATTATTAATACTTTTATTTTTTACTTTTATTTGCCACTTTACCACAGAACAGTAGCAACCATTATTATGATAGCAAATAAAAGTTATTTTTGTAGTTTGGGACACATGTAATAAGTAATGGATGTGTTACCTTTATCAAGGATAAGGGCTCGATCAGCTAGGTCTAATTTGTACTTTCACGTTGATTAGGTAGGAGGATATATTAGTTTTTTATGCGTGCGTGTATGGAACAGGAGAATAGACACATTCGATCGCTCCGGATTATAATCAAACACTGGCTGCATTGTAGTAAGACCAATTCTATATATGATCAGTTGCAGTAAGACAAAAAGTGGATCATTTCCAGTATTAGGATGTGCCTGTCATATACCCAAAACTATATCACCAAATATGTAAAGAATTCTACACTTAAATCTCTGACGGACTATTTAGGCCTAAGCATCTTTTAGGCAACAGAACTGCTGCAGTTTTCATATTACAAGTCCTATATACGAAAAGTTTGTGTACAAGCATATGGAACCTATTATTTTCTTCATCTTTATTTGTCAGATTCTAATTCAGAGGTTTGGCCTGAGAAATTATCAATTACAGTAGGGATTGGCGAGACCGTCACTCTCGACGTATCAACGACACAGTCTGTAGACACTTCATCTTTGAGATGGCGACTCAACGGAGGAAGTGACATCATCGAATGGGATGGCATGATATTAGTTACCATCTATGACGTCAGGAAGTCAGATGAAGGAATTTACGAGTGCTACGTCGAGGGTAACAGAGAGACAGGAAAACATGCTATTCTTAAGCTTATCGTAAGAAGTAAGTAAACGTATATTGATAACGTAGTATTACAATACATTTCTTAAACATTCTTCCGACTTATTGCACCGGTTACATGTACTATTTTAACGAAGTTTCATGAAAGGTTCATAATTCATTAGGTTCATAATTCCGAAAAAGACATGGAACCGTGAGGGCCTACTGTTTTTTCTCGGAATAATACGAACCTTCAGAATAACGAACACTATATCATTTGTGGAATAATGAGCCCTATTTCATTCTCGGAATTACACACCTTCGGACATTGAACGCTATTTCATTTTCGGAACTATGAACTATCCAATCAAAGAACATTCTGAAATACGCAACAAATGTTCGGAAAGTTGAACCCCCTGTCTTGTTTTGGAAATTTGTGGTCCGAAATTACGAATCTTCGGAAGTATAAACCGTCGGGAAATACAAGTTCCTCCCATATTAGCTCAGTGTACACGATACATAAAAGTTTTTTTTTCAAACAACGGCGTAAAGAAATATATGAAATGCAAAAATTAATGGCATATACACTTATTTGGTTTAATCTACATCATCGAAGACATTCACTTTTGCAATATGTCCACGGTGAAATATATATATTAAAAAAAAAAAAAACTGATTCACAGGTTTTGCGTTAAAGTAATAACCATACATAATGAACAGGATCCCTAGCTTTCCCTGTCATTCCCGATCTTTAGCTCGCATCAGGATAGGATATATGACAATGCGTCATTACGGCCATCGTGCACAGTAAGCTGCAGTGTATTGCTGAGCTGTCACGTTGGTACCAGATGATTAAATTTCATGATTTTTCCCCCTACATTCTTTTTTTTAAGGTTGCCCATCTTCCAAGTACGGTTTGGATTGCTCACAGAACTGTCCCGTGTGTTACGCTGGTGGGATATGTCATGACGTCACGGGAGAATGTGTATGTCGATCAGGATTCCAAGGAGTTAATTGTGAAACAGGTAAGTATTATTTGGTAACTTGTTTCTCTTTACTCAATCCATATTCTTCAAGTACAATTTATTAATTATAATTTTCTAGGAACCGACGCACTGATTAAGGTTTTCCGTTCTTGTATTTTATTTTATAATAGACCTTCATCTTTTGAAACCCTTTCGAATGACAACTTCCAATAAATTAAAGAACTATGTCGTAATTATTCCGTAATAATCGAATCGCAAAATCGTTTAGGAATTTGTTTCATTGAGATTTAAAAAAAAAAGTCATTAAAGACCCCCTTTAGAAGTGGAACATGTAATAGATGAATTATATATCCACGAAAAGTTAATAAACCATTATATTACAATGATATACCATTCATGCTATATTTAATTGTATGTCAGAGGAGCAAGAGCTCTCTGAAAACTTGAAATATGAAGCTCTAAAAATCGAAAGTTGTCGACCTAGAAACTAGCGATATATCGACTTGATGACATCAACTTATTTGGATTGATCAGGTGGGATATCCAAAGGGCAGAAATATAGGTGAAGCTATTCGGTTAATTGTCGACATGATCTTTCATACAACTCAAAATAAAATACCTGTTTATTTGTTAGCGATAGATTTTGAAAAAGCCTTGACTCGGTTTCACACATGTTTTTACAAAAGGTGTTAGTAGCCTTTGGTTTTGGACCGATATTGTGTAAATTGGTGAAAATAATTTATAATAAGGCTCAAAGTTGTGTTTTCAATGGAAACGTATCAACTGGATATTTTTCTATTCAGAAAGGTGTAAGACAAGGTGATCCTTTGTCTGCCTATTTATTTTTACTTTGCATTGAGATTCTTGATCGCGCAATCCGCATCGACTCGGCTATTCATGGGGTTCCCTTTGATGATATTCACGTTAAACAAATTCTTTATGCAGATGACATGTCGTTGTTTGTTCAAGATATTGAATATTTTAATAGACTAAACTCATTGTTTACTAGTTTTGCAAATATGTCTGGATTAAAGATGAATAGAGACAAAATCTTTGTATTATTGTTGGGTCCTAACGCGGATAAAGATGTAATAGTTCCATTTAGTAAGACAGTAAATATTGTAAAGATATTAGGTATACAGTTTACGTTAGAACGTGGAAAGCCAGGAAAAAATTAATTACAAAGAAATCTTAAGTAAAATTAAAAAGCTGCTTATGCGGTGGAAACAAAGAGATTTGAATTTGATGGGGAAAATTCAACTAATTAAGACTTTTGTTCTATCAAAATTTGAATATGTATCATCACTCACACCTGTACCGCCTTGGGCATTCCGTTAAATTGAAGTGTTAATATTTGATTTTTTATGGAATTGAAAAGACAAAATCAAACGGAGTACTATGTTTTTAGATTACGATAAGGGAGGTCTCAAATTGACAGATTTTCAATTATTTATTCGAACACAAAGAATCATGTGGATGAAAAGACTTATAACAGGAGCTTCAAATATGATTTGGAAACGTTATTTTAAATACCTGACTAGATAATATGGCGGCCTCTTGATATTTTTCAGTGATGTATCGCCAGATTTACTTGCACTGTCATTAACGGATTTTTACCGTAGCATGCTAGAGGCTTGGCTGGGAACAAAAGCCGTTTTGCTTAAGAACGAAATTTAAAAAAGAATTCAAATTATTTACAATAATAGATGTATCCGCATTCATGGGCAAATATATTTCCATGAAGACTTATTCCTGAAATTTAAAAAAAATATATATCATATTGTTGATAGGAAAGGTGAATTGAAATCTATCACAGAATTTAAGAAAATGGGTTTAAACAACATTGAAATAAATATAACTAGAAATTTAATTCGTCACGAAGACGAATAAGGTGGTCTGTCTAAGTCTTATGATAGATTTGAAAATGGGAGAAGTTATATAGACATGTAAACAATGATGATCATGATGAACATGATGATGATCATGATAGTAAAGGTGATGATGATCATGATAATGAAAATGTTATATGATGATAAAAACGATAATGTTAATGATGATGATGATAATGATCATGATCATGGTGATGTTGATGATCATCATCTTCAGACCATGATGATGATGATGATGATAATGATCATGATCATGGTGATGTTGATGATCATCGTCTTCAGACCATGATGATGATGATGATGGTGACATTGATGATGATGATGATAATGATGATATTGATGATGATGATGACGATGATGAGTATGAACATGATCCTGACATCTGATTGAAAAAATGAGGAAATATTTAGAGAGCAAATAGTCTAAGCTACAACATACTAAAATTTGGGAGAAAACTGTTAAACAATAACCGAGATACTGGTCAAAACACATTGTCATGCAGATGCATGTTTTCAAAAAAGTGACCTCCCATAGACATAACACGCAAATATGACAAATTATGCATTGTCGCCTTTAATCAAATATTTTACTATGATGACGTCAAATAAATGAAAAATAAATGACATTTTTCTGATAGAGAATTATCTCAGCTACAACATATCAAAATCTGGGAGAAAATCGATCACCGATAAGTGAGATAATCTCAAATAAACAAAGACAAAAATGACGTCATCAACAAAATACATTTGTTTGAGTTTAGATGCCAATATGATGACTTTATTTCACTTTGTACGAGTCAGGGTGGTATGAAATCATATCTCCAACTCATGCTTTCTCCAACCATGATATAAAAATTGGGGGTCAATGGACTATCTGAAGAGCTATTTCGATTTTTAAAATGGCATTTTTTTGATCAAATTTGCACTATATTGCCCATAGCAGTACGCGCGGATTTTGAACTTTGACGCACGCTCACGGCCTTATGAAATATGAAGAGTGACTGAAATTAATGTAAATTGTCAATTACGTTAAGAGGAATCCAAATCATGTAAACATTTTGAATTTGACCTTTTCTGCGCGCTGTGAGCGCGCACACCGCGCGCGGGGACACTTACGGACGGAAAATTTTGAAATGCTTCAAATGACCTGATTCGTACTCTCGTTTAATAGTTAGGTGATTTTGAGCAATTTTAAATTTTGACGCGCGCGTTTGTGCGCGTCATGACCTTTATGTGACCTTTGATGAGACGACCTGTTGACTCTTAACCTGAAGTATATGTGATATGAATATGAATGAACTTTGAGTACGCATCATGAAGATATGATGGATAATGTGATTTCACAAAATGGCGCCTGGATGACGTCACGATAATTTGATGACCTTCAAAATGTTCCTGTCACGTCTCATGATGATTACCTATGACTGTGTCGAAATTGAGAGAAATTGGGTTGATGGATATTGAGAAATCGGTTGCACAAAAAAGTGGAGAAATAAATAAAAATAAATAGATAAATAAATATAAAGAAAGAAAATTCTGACGAAATCAATAGGTGGTCTGTTGACAACAGACCACCTAATAAAACAGTTATATAAAGACATTCCATTCTCATGGAAAACTCTTTGAATATATATAAACATCCTTGTGAGGATACCGAATTAAGTTTAGAAATCATTATTATCGGAAAACCTCACTTTTTGCAAGGCATAACATCAAAATAGATCTATAGTACATTGTTAAAAATGAGAACGGAAAAATCTTATGCTACACGCAACTTAGAACGTATATACAATTTGGTCGAAAATGACACGAGAACAATTTTCTTAAGACCCAGAAAATCCATTCTGGACAGAAAGCTGAGGGAATTTCAATATAAAATGTTATATAATTTATTTTAAACAAATAAGCATCTATACACTTTCAAACATGCAGTGAGCAATCTTTGCTCCTTTTGCAATAAACACGAAGAGACCTATGAACATCTGTCTTTTACGTGTGAAAAGGTAGCAAATATTTGGAAGGACTGCGGTGACCTTTTTGCTTTATCAGCGTTAAAAGATCTACACTGGCAATAAATTCATATCGGGATAAAAAGATCCAATACGGGAGAAGAACAACTGTTAAATCACATTATTTTTTTAACAAATCATATGATTTTTAAATATAGTTCAACTAAAAATAGACCCCCAATTCCTCAAGGAATTAAAAAAAGAATCATAGAAAATAGGCAAGAAGAAAAGGAATTAGCGGGGGAGAGGGGCACTTTAACTCTTCACTTCAGAAAATGGGACAATTTCCACAGTTAAGGACGGCGAGGAAAATACTTATTTCTCAGACTCAGACATTTAAAAAAAAAAATATAATTTAGTATTAAGGAAAATGGAGAGACAGGATTTCCAACAAATGTGTGGATGTGAATGCTCGGGAAGGGAGGATGGTTTGGTTGAGCTTTGGAATGAAGGGGGAGGGGGATATGTAAGTTTGTATGTGTGTCTGAGTATGTGAGCGTGTGTGGTGTGTCTGTCTGTGCGCAACTCTTTGATTTATAATATTCGTTCAGTATAATTAATTTGAAAACATGTACCGTGTATTAAACTATCTTATGTATTTTTTGAGGGATGTACAATTTCCTTTATATTTCGATACGTTATGTAAATCAATGAAGTTGTATGTTTGTTTTTATATATTTTGTACTGAATGGATACAATAAAACAATGCTACAAAACAAAACAAAACTTATGTGAAGTGATTTGTATAATTAAGCAAGGCTTATCGCCTCAGCTGTATAGTAGAGCCTATCATATTCACTGTTCACGTGTTATGCCGCCACCGTAACTCTTGCAAATTTAACCCCTGTTGACCTGTAATTTTAAACGGTGCGGAAAATGAGATTTGATTATGCTTTTGTGCATTAATAAAATGCAAATATTTGATATTCCTTTATACTTGTATTTTCTATCGATATGAAGTTGTTTATTCATGGGATAAGGCCTTTAAAGATAAACTTGAGTTCCGATCATGCGATTGCATCGAGAAAAAACGGTGTGGAATCCTTCAGAAAAGGTTGAACATGTAGCATATAAGTATTGGTGTGTACTGCAAGGTTCTGGAAACATCACAATGATAAGAAAATTGGCCCAGTCTTGGTAAAGTTACAAGCACTATACACATAAATATGTATATGGGACTACATGAACATGCGACATAAAAATCCCTCCCGATTGTTATAATGTTACATGCCATATTTAGAATATTAAGGCATTTGAATAGCCATACTTTTTAGGGAACAAATTTTATCTGATGTTCTTCCACACTCACATAAACCAATGATAACGCTCACAAATTATTATTCACCACTTCCCAGAACTCAACCTTCTCTTTAAGTGTAACAAATGATCTTTCTTTTCTTCTTTGTTTTCATGGTCATGCAAACGCCATTCCATTCACCAGCCTGTGGTGACAACAACTGGGGAAAATCCTGTACTGTGGTTTGCTCTAGTGATAACCCCGGCTGCCCAAACTCGTTATTTTCACCACCAAACCCTATCGGGATAGCTTGTATCAATGGATTTGGAGGAAACAGGTGTCAAACAGGTATGTTAAAGCATAAATATCATACATACAAAGTTACAGATGACAAATAAAGAAATAATTTTGGTTGTAAAGGCGCCAAAATTAGAAATGGACGGGGAAATGTTTTTTTTGTGTGACAGTTTTAGATAAATAGCAGGGTATGAACAAAAACGTGTCTAAAGACTAAAAGTAGTGTTTCTTAAAAAAAATGTTTTCTTTTTCTTAAAAATTGCTTGGTTGACTTAGTACTGCTATTAACCTCTCATGATAACAATCTAAAACAAAGATTTCCCCTATCTAGTTGATTCGTACATTTTCATAATTTTGATTAGATATTTAATTTGCCCATTAGTATAATGGAATTAAAATAACAATAAATTAACAGCTTTCTGGCAACATTTTCCTTGAATTGGCAGTGTACAAACAGACACGTTTATTATCTATTTAAAATGCATCATTTGTATGTTCTTTACATTTCACTTTTTATTTCTGTCGTTATTATAAAAATGGCATTATATATTGCTCTAGCCTTCTCTACAAATTTCAGTATAGCTTCATAAACAGCACTGTTTTTGTTGTTGCAATCCAATTGTTGCAAGAGGAGGAAACTGGTGATTACCAACACTCTCTTTGAGCAGCACCCTAGACGTCGCTATACATGGAAAGCACCTGGGGATATTGCACGCTACCAGATTGACTATATTCGTGTGAACCAGCGGTACAAGAATAGTGTTAAGAAGTCCAGGCGCAGACTGTTACTCGGATCACAACTTGGTGCTGATGACAGTGCAGCTGAAACTAAAGAAGATGAGGAGGAGCTGTAAAGTGACACAAATAGATAATGCAAAGCTGAAACAGAATGCATTAATGTATGAATGTGGTGTCCAATCCCGGCTGAACTCTAGAAAACTCCCAGAGGGGCCCTCGATTGAAGAGGAATGAGAAAATCTAAAAGATGCCTTGCATGGTAGTGCTGAAGAAAACGTTGGGTTCAGTAAGAGAAAGAAGATCCGTAAACCATGGATAACGGAGGAATTGATAGATAAGATGGATCACAGAATAACGAACTAAGAAGAGCTACATACACAACACGAACTAAATGGTGGGAACAACAATGCAAGGAATTAGAGGATCTAAACCGCAGGGGGAAAACAGACCTTATGTACAATAAAGTGAAAGTTCTTAGTGACGATATGAACAAAGGGAAAGGAAAGAACAACAAAATAGGGGTTCCGGATGTGAATGGAGAACTGCTAACCAGCCAACGGGACATAGAGGAGAGATGGCGTCAGTACGTAGAGGAGTTGTATGCAAGGGACAATAAACCAGTCGCTCTGCCCTTGGAAATGAAAGATTATGTCATGGCGGATGGCGTTGGACCTCCCTTACTTCCAAAAGAGGTGCGTGCTGCAGTCTGTCAGTTAAAGGAGAAAAGGGCGGCTGGTGAAGACAACATTACGGCTGAAATGCTCAAGAATATGGGGGAAGCTGGTATAATGGCACTGACTGAACTATGTCAACAAATATATGAACAGGGAATCTGGCCAGATGATTGGACAAGAAGCCAGTTGATAACTATTAAGAAGACCACAAAGGCAATCAGATGCGAGGATCACCGCACTATCAGCCTGGTATCACATGCTTCAAAAGTATTACTAAAGGTACTCTACCATCGGATTGAAGCGAGGTCCAGAGATTATATTGGAATTGACCAATTTGGCTTTCGAAAAGGGGTCGGTACTTGAGAAGCAATCGCTGTGATGAGAATAATAAGTGAGAGATGTATACAGCATGCATGATCAGGACCTATATATCTGTTTTGTGGACTACGAAAAGGCATTTGATCGTATCAATTAGACTAGGTTGATGGAAGTGCTGTCAGCCACTGGTGTTGATTGGAAAGACCGTAGACTGCTTGCACCCTTGTACATGTCTCAGACTGCTAGCGTTCGCGTTGGAGGTGGGGTCTCTGAACCAGCCGTCATTGGACGTGGAACACGTCAGGGATGCCTTCTGTCTCCTCTTCTCTTCAATATCTATGCAGAGGCAATGGTAAGAGAAGCTCTGGCAATGTTAGAAGAAGGAGTGATCGTTGGAGGAGTGTTGATTAGGTCTGTACGGTATGCTGCTGATGAGGCCACGCTCGCTGTCACTGACGATGGTCTTCACAGACAGATGGTACAGATGGATCAAGTGGTCAGGAGCTATGGCATGATAATCAGCGAGAAGAAAACGAAGTTGATGATGATAAGTAAAGGCAAGACAAAAAGAAATAAATATCATGATAAATGACAACAGACTGGTGCAAGTGAACCACTTCAAGTATCTAGGCAGTGTGCTGACTAAGGATGGCAAGTCTGCCAAAGAGGTCAACTTGCGCTCAGCTCTGGTAAGAGCTGCCTTCTTTCGAAGACAAGATATCCTGATGAGCCACAACATTGACCTTAGTTTGAGAAAGCGTCCTGTAAAGTCTCTAGTATGGAGTGTACTGTTGTATAGGGCTGAGACGTGGACACTCACAAAAAAGGACATGCAGCGATTGGAGGCGGTCGAAATGTGGTGCTGGCGCAAATTACTAGGTGTGTCTTGGAGGGACAGAGTTTCGAATGAAGAGGTGTTGCATCGAGCTCAAGAAAGGCGGGTGCTGATTCAAACGATTAGAGAGAGACAGGAGAAATGGCTTGGACACATAATGCGGCATGATGAGGGCTTGATGCTCAGAGTCATAGAAGGTCGTATTCATGTAAAGAAGAAGAGGGGAAGACCTCGTAAAAGGCTTACTATACGATGTATGTAATCACACAATGTGGAGCAACAGGGTATGAAACGATGAAACGGTTGGCTCAAGACCGAGGAACTTGGAGAGAAACTTGAAGAGACACTTGATATAGAATTTTGAATTAGTCACTGAACCTGTCATAAACTGACAGATCACTATTGACGATGATGAATCCAACATAAATTTAATAGAAAATGTCCATAATTCATAATGTTTCAAGAGAAATCAAATTACAATTTACTCTGATCCTTCTATGTAACCGAAAATGGAGTCATAGTTTGTAGTTCTAGAGCACGATAGTATATATTTTGTATGTACCTAACAAGGTGTCATTGAATGGCCGGTGAAGATGAGTGTGGGTGTTACACTTATGAAAAATGTCAAATACTAATCATTGACACAATCTTTCAATATTTCCCGAAAGCTTGCACCGGTGATAATTTTGGTGCTAGTTGTGAACTGGATTGTAACTGTGATGGTACGTGCGACCGTGTGAATGGATGTGGAGGCACATGTTCAGACAGCTTCGAGGGTAACTTTTGTCAAGGTAAGCTTCAGAGGGTGTTTCGTGATCGTTGTTACCAAGTATTTGATTTTAATGCGATCTACTGGGAATATCATGTCTCTGAATGCCGTACTTAAAGCTATGCTAAACGGAAGAACTTTCTGCCCTAGCGTTATTTTAGTGCACAACGTCATATCATTGTAAACTTGCCAACAGTGCGTAACCCGCTGATCTCTACATTACGTTAGAGTGAAGAGTTAAGAGGAACCAACAGCGCAGCGAGTTATGGAATCATACTGCTACCTGAGATGGCGCTTGAGGAAGCACTTGTAGTGGGTTTAAACCACTTACCATGTATGGATAGAAATATGAGGGCAACATTAATGAATTTGTGGAAAAATGCGAAAAAATATAAGCCACTACATTTTGTATTATTCATCTCAATGCATGCATCATAAGAAAAATACAAACAATAATTTGAAATTCATATATATATTTGTATGGTCATGTTTTAAAGATATTAAAAGTGTAGTGCAAAAATAGAATGTCGATCTGCCAATTATCTAATAATTCATTGTCACAAAAGCCCCCTACAGGCAGCATCGTTTAATGATATAAAACGTTAATTTCCTTTGGCACATTTCGCTTGAAAGAAACAGTTTTGTATCAATAACATGTTCTTACCATAATTATTTGACGGCTATTAGGTCACAGATGTCCAGAACATTATTATGTCAGTCACACATCTTTCCATTTGCTTTGTTTGCTTGTTTTCTTTAGCCTTGAGATCGGACCGCTCTTGTCCAACCGGGTATTTTGGTACCCTGTGTGGCTATCCATGTCATTGTGCTGGTGGTGTGGACTGCCAACGGACCAATGGTCATTGTCCAAATGGAGTCATGTGTTCTGAGGGATGGGCAGGATCAGACTGTCAACAAGGTAAGTTAAGGGAAATTCCAAAAGGGAAAAGAGTAGAACTTGCGAATAAGTATCGTAACCTTATCAAATGTTACCAATTTACCTTAAATCTCTTGGATTGAAGTGGTTGTCCTTTAAAGTGGTATTCGAAATGGAACAAATGAAAATAAGTTTTGATAATCATTTTATATTATTTTACTTTACTTGACAGTATGCGGACTTTCGACAACTCTGCTTATTTCTGTAGCAATGCAGTTCCATCACCACAAGTACACAAAAACACCTGTGTAAACACACACTCACACACACACACACACACACACACACCCACACGCATACATGCATATATATATATATATAGTATAATACATTGTAAAACGTACATTAATGATAATGCTTGATATATAGTATAGAGATATCGACTGCTTTATAGGCCCATGGGAACATTCACCTAAAATGTAATTAAATTGTAATAATATAGTTGGGAGAATTAAGGAATCGATCAGACCAGTTTTTCCCAAATTGTAAGGTTAATAATGGTCCGTTTTTCACTCAAACTTTCAGTTTATTTTTAAGTGTACATCTAGCATTAAAGTCACTACCTAAGCACCATTTTCTCTCATCTGAACAATGTTACTAAGTCCCTATAACTCATAGCCTGCCATAAGGCTGCATGCACGCTATCGTTATACTGCTTTGTCCATGCGAGAGAGCTATCGCTTGAGTGCCATTGTGCGTGCAATGCAGCATTCGTAATAGCAGTTATTGTTCATGCTGTGTATTTTGCACTCGCTATTCATAGAACCATCGCGTTAATCAGATTATTTCCAAAATAACATGGCACGGGGGGATTTCGGGCTTGGCACAATGGGGATTAGCCCTGTGGCATGATAAGAGTTAAAACAGTCGATAAGTCTTTTAAATGCCGAATTGAAACAAACGTTTACTAAGCATTCTTACCTTATCCTTTTATTGAGTAAAGATCGGTTGAAATATCATGGAAAATATGAGACACTGTCTGTTAATCTTCACTGAAAAAATGACTGAAAGTTTCAATCACTGTATGGTGTCCGAGCTCGTACAAAGACAATTTAACACGTAAACCAATGGGGATCTGATCACAATTTATTTATGCGGCCTGTTACCCGGGCTACGGGCATCTTTAAAGAAGACTTTTGACCGGTAGGCGGGTACGAGCGCACTTTTTCAAAAGACTATTGACGGGTAGGCGGGAATATCTAAAATCACGACTGCTATTTTAACCAATCAGATGGCTAGACTTCTAAAGAGAGGTATATAAATATAAATATATTTAACACGCATTTATAATTATAGTGATACATGTAAATTTATCATATATTTCATCGCATTAGGTCATTAAGAACTCATCTACACGATTTTAAAAGAGCTTTGTCGAAAAATTAAATATCTACCCCACTGGAAATAAGCTCTCGAGCTTTCGTGGGTTTTCCTGTTCAAGCTGACTTATTTTTGATCTGTTATTATTGTATATTGTTGTATGTTGGAAGCTTGTCGAATAAAAATCAATCATCAATCGATAAGAGAGTAGGTCCAAGAAAGTAATCAGAAAACTGTTATCAACCCAAACAGCTCTTCCACGACTGCTTGAATCACCTTGGGTGTCTGACGTCACCAAAGATTCGGTCCTGCTCATTTGGAATGCCTGGACAGATGGTTACGACTATGGCAATGGCCCTGTACACTCCTATCAGATTGACTACACATGGACGAAAGATAAAGACAACACTGGTGAATCCGAAGTACCGTTAATTATCACTGGAGATAGTACTGCTGAAATCACAGGGCTGTCCGGTTTCAGATACTACGATTTCTACGTCAGTGTTAGAAGAGAGGTCGAGGGTCAGGTTGTTGCCGGTATAAGAAGTGGTCCAATCAGTGCCAAACCATACTGTCAGGGTAGGTAACCCTACTAACATTATATCCCAACCCGCAATCGTAGCGTGAATTCAATCATTAGGGGGACACTGATGTCATCGGGGGGGGGGGGGGCGAAGGGATGGAGATACTTGCATTATCCTTAGAGAACATATGTGTCCCTTTTCCTCTCTCCCTATCTTTTTTCTTCTTCCTCCTTTTTAAAATTTTTCATTATTACAGAGGAGGAATTCCCACTACTTTTTAAATATCATCTTAAGTAACTTTTGGAGATTATTTATTCTTTTCTAAAAGAATATGAAATGGCCACACAAATTTATGTGGACACGCAAGCGCTCGATGTAGATTCTATACCAATATACATGTATATGAAGTCGGCTGCCTACAAGAAGGGCCTTGCTGCCACTAGAAATGAATAGCTCTTATGTCTGGATTACATTTGCCCCGGGCGCCTTACGATAAATTAGTCTACGATTTTTCGTGCGATATGGGGGGGGGGGGGGTGGCATCGCAGAAGAATAGGGGCTACGATGTTTGTGTTAACATTATCTCCGAGCATCCTGCCATTTCTTGTATTAGCCCTCGGGGGCAGGCGGGGGCAAATCCGTACAGAGCTTGGTCGGAGATTGTACGGTAATCGTACAATTTCAAGGCAGTAGCCGTACAGTCTCCGTGCAAAGGTTGCGCATAGAAGGCGCGGTGACCGTGCAGCCGCCCTGCCGTTTTTAAACGTTTTTTGCCTCCATTTTCACCGAAAAATCGTGCGTTTGCTGCACGATCAGCGCAAGGCCTCCGCGCGGTGCCCGTGCGAGGATGGTGTAGAGGCCGGTGAGCCCCGCGGAGCCCGTAAATCCGTACGAAAATCTCACGGCCGTCTCCTGCCTCTGGATTGAGGCCGCACGGAAAAGGGGATACGGGCAAAATACGGCTCCGTAGACTAATCTTAGGCCAAATGTAATCCAGGCATTATGGTTTCTTGTGGGTCGTCGAATCTACGATTCTCTGGTTAAATACAATTCAGCTTTTATTATGGTAGGGTGAAGGAGAAGAAAATGCCGATATTTTAAATCAACCCGCGGACATCACTTACATTTAAAAGTCATTATTAATCATTATTACCTATACCTTCCAAGCAGTCGAATCACCGCAAAAATCTAGCAGACTATCGTATGATGCGATAGCAGGATATGATAAACGTACATCACTCTTTTCTGATTCACAAAAGGATAGGTAACATGAGTTTTTACAGAAGGTCGATAGATGATTTAGCTTGGTCAAAACTAGTAAACATAGAGGTGCATATAGCTAGTGATTTATTGAGGTAACACGAGTGAAACTTGAATTTTAATTTCTTTTGTCTGGTATGGAATGATGAACATGAAGTTGTGTATACATTTTCCAACAATACCTAAAAATCCAATTCCTACAGGCCTTCAAACAACCTCCCTCATTCTTGTGTATTGCCCACAGCTCCTCAACCAGTGGATAGTGCTGACGTCACTTCTGATTCATACAACCACATGGAGATCACGTGGTCAGAGCCATCCAGCCAATGCGGTGCTCCGAGCTACAACGTATCACGTAGGCTCCTCCTCATTGACCAATGCGACGATTCTATGGCGGATACGGTAACGTGGGAGGTAACGGGCGATACAAGCATCGAGTATGACGACCTGTTGTCTTACTCTGCCTACGAGTTTACAGTTCTGGCGACTCTGGAAGGCTATGATGCAGAAACAGTCTATGTCATCGCATACAACTCAACTGAGTCAAGTAAGTCAAAAACACATAAGCATGGGCTCTCGTCGGGAATTCAACATCGTTCAGGCATTCACCTTAAAACTATTTTACCAATCACCGGGAGTAACTTCTTATATTCGACCAACAGGTTTTAAATGTATTTACAGTGCACTTTCCATCAATTGCCCCATAACGAAATGTCTTTATCATGCCTCTCCCGGCAACCCGAACACATCTAGGTTGCTGTTTGCGAAATTTGTACTCTCATTAATGGTATTTCATCCCAGGTCAGGTGTCAGCGGTTTATTGCATATGCCGAGGTCACATTTGCTCGGGATCGAGATCGAAATCGAGAGATACTTGCGGCGGCCGCAGATATCTTTTGCGGTGGCCTCAGGGTCACCTTAGGGCGCATCCCTATCTTAATAGGCCGTACGGGTCGCCGTGGGATTATAACGCGGATTTATAGTTGTTTTCATTTCGATGTTCGGCGAAGCTATGCCTTAGCGCGGTTCCACGGCGACCGTACGTCGGGCGTACAGTCGCCTTGCGTTTTATCAACTCTAGGGGTGCAGCGGGATAATCAGTCTGGCCGCAAGGCCCCCGTTTGGTCCCCCTTCTACCGCCTCCGGGTACCTTGCGGCTACCTTGTGTCTGCCTTAGTATTTGTCAAAAACCTACGGCCGCCGCAGGAACACCCAAGGCGACCGTGCGTCATCACTTCAAAGGCCGTACGGCAGCTGCAGGTTTTCTGTGTCCACAAATTCAAAATACGCCGTGCATCTAACCTTAAACATTATTGGCCTGCGATTAGTCTAAGGAGCCCGTATTCTGCCCGTATCCCCTTTTCCGTGCGGCCGGGAGATTTTCGTACGGATTCACGGGCTTCGCGGGGCTCTACGGCGTCTACGATTTTGTTTCGCAGAAAGTTAAACAACTTTGTAAGCACGTACTCCTAAAAATATCGTAGGTGTCAATGTACGATCGCGCTGATCGTGCGGCAAACGCACGATTTTCCGGTGAACATGGAAGCAAAAAAACAAAAGCACGGCGGCTGCACGGCCACCGCGCCTTCTCCGCTCAACCTTTGCACGGAAGCTGTACATGCTCCGAACGATCTTGATGCGGAGGCTGCGGAGACCGCACGGCTACTGCGTTGAAGTTTCACGATATCCGTACAATCTTCGAGCATCCTCTGTACGGATTTGCCCCTTGCCTGCCCCCGAGGGCCAATACAAGAAATGGCACGATGCTCGTAGATAATGTAAACACAAACATCGTAGCCCGTAGCCTCCTACGATGCCCCCAAAATCGCGCGAAAAATCGTTGACTAATTAATAGTACGGCGGCCGGGGCAAATGTAATCCAGGCATTATGTGACCGCTTCCGTATTTAACTGTAGAAATGCTGCGGCGGCCCCTTGATTGCTATTGGCCGTAGATATTTTGGACCGCACGGCCGCTGCGGCAAATGTGACCTAGGCAATAATTCACATAAAAACTGCGGCGCATATCCCTCTAACGTGAATCACTCTGCTGTACTCCTCGATGTTATTTAAGCCTGGTTCTACGCCTTTTAATCAGATGTATTTTTTTTTCGGATAGAGACGTTAGAGATCGGTTTCCAGATGAAAACACGTATATCTGGCTTCACAATATTTCCCCCTACATTTGCCACTCTTCACCTAGGAGGAAAACAAAATAAACGCACGGTAAAGAAGGCTGCTAGATCAACCAGTCATGGTTACACTAACGTCCGGGTAACAAGGTGTTACTTTGTACATCAGTATGATATTTTCATATAGTAACTGCATGATATTCGATTTGTAACGTTTTCCACTGAATAGTTTCAACTGCGCCACCTGAATACTTCACAGTGGATAGCACAGTGAAGGGACAATTGGAGTATACCTGGACCAGTCCTCCATGCGGAGACCGGAACGGAGCCGTAAGTTACGACTACGAATTCGGAGAAGCGGGAGAGGAATATGTGCAGAGGGGAAACCTAATGATGGCAAGTAAATCCTTTGAGGATTTACAACATTACGTGATGTATGAGTTTACTGTCTGTCCAAGGACAGTCGTTGGACCGGGTCCCTGCATCTCTATTCAGTCCAGAACGCTACCAAGTGGTAAGATCCGTTATGCTATCGTTATCGAGGATTGGACGTTATTAGGTGGTCTGCACTGTAGCATAGTAGAGCACCTATTGATTTCATCAGAATCTATATCATTTTCTTCTTTTTCTCCTCAATTTCGGTATGGTTTTTGTCCTCTTTATGTCTCATAAATGACATGGTAAATGACGTATCAGGGCGATTACCCCCTGGATAATGGCCCCGGAAAATTACCCCCCCCCCCCCGAAGAATAATAAACTCCACAGAACTTTTCGCCCAAGGGAAGCCATCTCCCGATGACTATTGTCCCCCGGAAAATAACCCCTAGGACAATTACCCCCCCCCCCCCCCATCCCCTGAAATTTACCACTAGTACAATTCTCCCGAACTTGGCGTCATTTCAACAATGGCTCTCGGTAGAGCATTCCAGCCGTTTTTAATTCTTGATTTGTATTATATTTGTGAATTGTATTCTTGTACGCATTTGATTATTATACGGAAAATAAAACCAAACCAAACAAGGAGAACCACGGTCAACCACCCCGAGGATAATTACCCCCCCCCCCCTGTAAATTATCACATATTCGTCAATGGGGAAGTCCGGCCCTATAACAAGTTGGTTTTAAATTTATTCGGGGGGTAATTGTCCTGGAAGGGGGGGGGTGTTCCCAGAGAGAGGTAATTGTCCTTGGGGGTAATTTTCAACGGGATGGGGGGGGGGGGGGGGGTGTCTTGGGGGTATTCTTTCTGGGGGTAATTTTGGGGAGGTAATTGTCTATGTGGGATAGTTGTCCCGTTAGTAATAGGCCGGGGAAGTTTGTCCTTGGGGTAATTGTCCTAGAAAAAGTTAAAGGCATCGTTTAACAATGTTATATGAGATGCACGGCCCTACATATTATCAGTGTATGTGATATGATGTAATATTGAAGCCCTAAACAGATTGCGCTTCTTTATCTATGAGGCTACAATAGATCATTTTGCTTAGTAATATTATTCAAATTATGAATATGTATTTAAACATGGGTTTTAAAAATGAGGGTCAATCAAATGCTTGTTTGTTGTTTCCTCTTTCATTGGCAGATGTTCGTGTATCAGGATTGGAGATTGGCCTCATTGTAGTTGTTGTAGCCGTGTTGCTGTATGCTGTTGCTATTACTTTCTTGCATATTCAGCTCAGGTAATTTAAGGTTTAAGTACTTAATGTTAGCCCTGTATTTCACCTTTTAGGAGTTATGAATAGACGAAATGAACAACTGAAGAAAGATACTACCATTAAATATCTGGCTCATAGCATACATGATACACATCATGAGTTTTTGAACAAAGCACTGTACTACTTGTAACAAGATAGGTCAGCTACATTTTCATCAGGTATAAGGTTGTTAGACCCAGTGGCGGATCCAGGGAGGGGGGCCGCCCCCCCCCCACCCTGGAAAAAAAAACGTGATTGTTAGTTCAAGGGGGGGGGGTGCAAATTTTCATATTTACGAGGGCCAACAAAAAATGTGGTCACTACCCCCCCCCCCCACCCCCCCCCCCCCACTGAGCGACTTTTTGGCCTGCGCGATTTTCATATTTTCGGGAGCAAAAAAAAAAAAAGTTGGGCCCCCTCCCCTGAGAAATCCTGGATCCGCGCCTGGTTAGACTAACGAATCCACATTCAAAAAAGTGTCACACTTCAACCGTTGAGTTTGTTTCTATTCAGAATTAAAGAAATTATAAATTGGGTTTTTACGAGTCTGCATTTGGTAACGTTTAGTTCAGTTTTAAGACTACTGTATCTTAGATTGTATTAATCATAAAGTTTATCCATTGAATGAGGGATTTAATTATTTCCCCTGTGATTTATTTTACCCTTTTCCGAGAAATAAATGAAAAAATGGATTATTTGTTTAATTATAGAGATACAGTTTATACCTTCTCAGAACTATATTGATCAATCTCTACGACTCTTTAAAGCAATCAATAAAGTTGGGAGTGAAAATAAATTGTTTTTATCAAGAGTAGACCATATTATCAGATTGATTTCTTGAAAAAAGGAGAGTAAAACTATTATTCTAACTTTACGGGCAATATTGTGCAAAGAACATCCATTGAGAAACAAGTTCCATTAAACTTGAGTCTTCTCAATCAAGAACTTTACAGACAACTTTCATCACTCCATGGGGAGCATTTTAGAGAGGCGCTATTTTAAAGACGCTCACAATGCTGAGCACTGAAACAACAATGAATTTTGCATCCTACCGGGTACCCATTAAACAGATAGGTGGAGAGTGGTGCATGTGGATTAAAAATAGATTTATTAATGTGACTTTTTTCATTTAACAGAAGCAAAGTACAAGCGCGAACTGAAGAGAACAGACCAGATCCTTACATGGATCTAAAACCCAGACCCGAGGCAGACAACACATACCAGGAGATCGCTATTACCTCATCGACTTCGTCCCAAAAAGCAAGAGAAAAAACTCTACAATCATCAGACCTGGATTATGAGAACCAGAATGTTGCGCAGTTTGCAAGCACAATAAAAGACGGTGCTGATTATGAATTTGTACTAACCCCAAATTAAGACAACTGGAAGCTTTATAAAAACTCAAATGTGCTTCTCAGTAATTGTTTGTCTCTTGATTTTCAATTACAGAGAACAATATCAATTGATTAATTGAGTAATTCTGTTTCGAAGGCAATACAAAATCTCTCAAAATGTCTTAATTAAATGCTAAACATTGGCAAAATTAACAGGGAAAAGGGCATTACTTTTCGTCAAAGAATTTAGAAAAGATATGAAGAATTTGTTGTATCAAACAAATACAGCTCTACTCTTAGTACTGTGAATGCACTGCTTTGATAGGAATATTGTAATCAAACGCTGCAATACAAAGGAAAAACTGTAAATGAACCAAAAGAAAGTGCAAATATTTTCATGACATTTTGTCAACATTGGAGAAAACCTTATTGAGTCCATTCCTGACTCTAATCAGTCATTCTCTGATTATTAAAAAGGTAACTTTGTTCACAGTTTATTTTTCAAACCAGTAACTGTCACTGAAACGTTAAATATTGTTTAAAAAATGGCCTAGGGGAAACAGTTCAGGGTATGATAACATAAGTACACGTCTTTTAAAGGTACTATTTCCATTTGCAGGCCCCAAAAATGAAAAGATTAAATTCCAACGGCATTTGAAAGATAATACTGATTTATAACTTCCCTAAAAAAAAAGGGGGTGGGGGCTTGAAAATGTCTTTAAGTGGGGGAAATAACGACTTTTAGTTGTCGAATCGACTTAAGAGCTATAGAGTCAGTAAGTAATAGTCTGATTTTCAGACCATTGTAGCGGATTGTCGTACGTTTTATGCTGCGCAAAGATTCAATCAGTTAAATTTTTGCCATTACAAGTAGTGGGTTATTGATTGAGACAAATTATCATGTACCTCCTACAGCTCGTTTTAAGTATGTTATTACCAAGAAGAAAAAGGGCTGGGCAGTCACTCAATAGCGTCTGACAGTGAAGTCTAGCAAGTAAACGGGTTTCCTTGCATAACTTGTGTATTAGGACCAGGGGCGTAAATCCGTACCGAGGGGTGGGGGGGGGGGATGATCGGCGATAGCCATCACTTACTAGCACGAGCACACGCGCGCCCACACTAATTTACGCAAGCGCGCGCGATCGCACACGCACAAACACACAACACACACACACACACGCACACGCGCACGCACACACACACGCACACACACACGCGCGCGCGCAAACGAACTCAGTTTACCTCTCTCGCGGAAGCCTTGACGTTTCCTTTAATTATTAGAGAAAGCAGACGATTGGGTGTACTGTTCTCGACTCTTGATTCTCGTCTGAATTCAGTTTCCCATTCCCGCGCGAAGCGCGAAAAGATTAGACGTTTGATTTAATTATTATACGGAAAGAAGACGATTCGTCGCACCGTTTTCGACTCTTAATAAGCCTTATTTATCGTAATTCAGTTTCCCCCTCTCGCGCAAAGCGCGGAAGCCTTGACGTTTCCTTAAATTATTAGAGAAAGCAGACGATTGGGTGTATTGTTCTCGACTCTTAATTCTCACCTGAATTTAGTTTCCCCTTCCCGCGCAAAGCGCGAAAAGCTTAGACGTTTGATTTAATTATTATATACAGAAAGAAGACGATTCCTTGCACCGTTTTCGACTCTTAATAAGCCCTATTTATCTGAATTAAATTCCCCCTCTCGAGCGAAGCGCGGAAGCCTTGACGTTTCCTTAAATTATTAGAGAAAGCAGACGATTGGGTATACTGTTCTCGACTCTTAATTCTCGTCTGAATTCTGTTTCCCCTTCCCGCGCAAAGCGCGAAAAGCTTAGACGTTTGATTCAAATATTATAAAAAGAAGACGATTCGTTGCACCATTTTCGACTCTTATTAAGCCCTAATTATCTGAATTCAATTCAATTCATTCAATATAAACAACAAATTAATTCATTCATAGACCTACACAAACATCACATGCATTGCAGCCGTTAAATATCATCCCCTCGTCCCTTAAGTTTTAGGTGTGAACAAATGTCAACCACCGAGTAGGACTTGGGCAATGCAACAGTTACCGTATTATTCATCACTCTCAATCAGATGCGTCCACAGTTTTCACACCTCTTAAAAAATGTTTCTGGAATTCATATAATGATACATGTACTGTGTTTATTATTTAAATCTAATGAATTCTTTAATTTCATCAGCCGAATCCTTTCTCAAATATAAAAATAATAAGAATGTGTACAGGCTTACCTTGAAATAACTAAAGAGACAAACGGCCACTGTAAGTCTTGAACACGCCAGGTCTGGAACTTCAGTCTTCATCTACCCACCCCCCCCCCCACACACACACTCCGGGGTCGGAGGGACCGCATGCGCGTTCCTAAAATCTCCAGGAAAGGGGTATTTTTTCGCGCGAGAAAATCCGGCCCGAGAATTGTAAAAAAAAAAAGGGGGTGTATTTGACTTTTCACTCGGAGATATCTTTAAAAAGGGGGTGGGTTTTTTTCTCTCTCTCTTTGGACTCCTGAGAAATGTAAAAAGGGGGTTATAAAATATCTTGAATATCATAGAAAAATTGATCGAATCCCGGTATCAAATTCCTGAAACTCCTGCTAGCTTTGAAAGCTCATTCAGGAATATTTCATTTTGAAAAGTAAAAACATTGGCCCCCAGCCCCCAGTCCCCCTCGATCGACTAGAGCTCACCTGAAATTGGGGGGGGGGGGGGGGGGGTGGTACATTTAGCAGTGTTCCGGATTTATTATTATTATTATTTTTTTTTGGGGGGGGGGTCTCCAAGGCAGGAAAAGCCAGCGAAAAGCCGGCGAAAGGGGGATTCAGAAATGTTGGTAGTCCTGAGATAGGGGGGGGGGGGTGCTTTCAAAGGGAGGGAACGAGCATACTCGTACCCTAAATAACACTGAGTGGGGGGGGGGGGAGCCGGGCATCTACTGTACATAATTGCACTTTTTTTAGCGCTGGCGCACTTTACGTCTAGGCTATAATAATACCTTGCAAAATAACGAAAAATTATTCTGAAGTTTATGAAGTGCTTGTTCGCGCACGTCGCGCAACTACTCTTTACGTGTAGGCTATACAGTTATACATACATTAAAAAAAACTAATTTCTCATGCATTATGCTGAAAGTGAAACAATCACATTTTGTTTTCTTCTTTTTCTTCCTTTTTTTTTCTCTCTTTTTTTTGGTGTAATCTCAGGGGGAATGATTGTACAGGCCACCCCCCCTACTTCAAGCCAGGGGGGGGGGGGATGCAGCCCCCCCCCCCATCCCCCGGGATTTACGCCCCTGATTAGGACACTGCAATTCATGCTAACGTTTAAATTTCACAGATAGGACATACATGACATATTCATAATTCCTGCAAAATTCTATAGAATTTGATGTTGGCTGCAAAGGGGACATAGTATCTTTACAGTCTGTAATCAATTTTTTACTCGTACCTTTAACACATTTGTGTAATCTGATATGATAAAATAGTCCATTATGTTGATGTAAATAATCATACGATATATGTTTTTATGGATTTTTCGAAAGCTTTCGTTTCTATACCCCATGATATATTATTACCGGTAGTTAAATTACATTTTTACGGTGTAAGAGGTTGACCTCACAAATGGGTTCAAAGTTATC